AACCAGCATTCCATTGAGAGGCAATTGCTCCAGGTTATGTAGAGAGGTACTGCTTCCATTGTAGGGATGTTTGGGAATTCAAACTTCTCAGCTTTTTAAAAAATTTGCATCTGAACACTGTGATTGGCATCCGAGGCCATCAGCTTTTCATTTTCTCTTGGTTGGGTCTCTGGGACCTTCAGAGGAGTTACCCCATGTTATAATCTTTGTAACACCTATTTTCACCATAGTTAAGTGGCACAGACACTTGATCATCAAGCATCACTGTCCATTGGTACTTTCTTCCCATTTCTTTGCTCATGATCATTTTTTGGAAATGAGATGCCAATACCTGCCCATTATCATCCCCACTCTATAAGAAGAGTATACATGTGCTTCTAAAATATGTAAACAACCAAATCTCAGAATCTTAACTTTAAGGCTTCCTTCCTGGGGCTACTCCTGGGACGAGTTATTTTTTTAGTCAGAAAACAGATGACATCCCCTACTGGGGTAAATGGTACTGGGAGAACTGGACAGCAACATGCAGAAGAATGAAACTAGACCACTTTCTTACACCATTCACAAAAATAAACTCAAAATGGATAAAGGACCTGAATGTGAGACAGGAAACCATCAAAACCCTGGAGGAGAAAGCAGGGAAAAACCTCTCTGACCTCAGCCACAGCAATTTCTTACTGGACACATCTCCAAAGGCAAGGGAATTAAAAGCAAAAATGAACTATTGGTACCTCATGAAGCTTCTTCTCTTTGCACTGCAAAGGAAACAATCAACAAAACTAAAAGGCAACCAACGGAATGGGAAAAGATATTTGCAAATGACATATCAGACAAAGGGCTAGTATCCAAAATCTATAAAGAACTCACCAAACTCCACACCAAAAAACAAAGAATCCAGTGAAGAAATGGGCAGAAGACATGAATAGACACTTCTCTAAAGAAGACATCCAGATGGCCAAAAGACACATGAAAAGATGCTCAACGTCACTCTTCACCAGGGAAATACAAATCAAAACCATACTGAGATATCACCTCACGCCAGTCAGCGTGGCTAAAATGAACAAATCAGGAGACTATAGATGCTGGCGAGGATGTGGAGAAACGGGAACCCTCTTGCACTGTTGGTGGGAATGCAAACCGGTGCAGCCACTCTGGAAAAGTGTGGAGGTTTCTCAAAAAATTAAAAATAGATCTACCCTATGACCCAGCAATAGCACTGCTAGGAAGATACCCAAGGGATACAGGAGTGCTGATGCATAGGGGCACTTGTACCCCAATGTTTATAGCAACACTTTCAACAATAGCCAAATTATGGAAAGAGCCTAAATGTCCATCAACTGATGAATGGATAAAGAAGTTGTGGTTTATATATACAATGGAATACTACTTGTCAATATGAAAGAATAAAATATGGCCTTTTGTAGCAACGTATATGGAACTAGAGTGTTATGCTAAGTGAAATAAGTCATACAGAGAAAGACAGATACCATAGGTCTTCACTCTTATGTGGATCCTGAGAAACTTAACAGAAGACCATGGGGGAGGGGAAGAGGAAAAAAAAGTTACAGAGAGGGAAGGAGGCAAACCCTAAGAGACTCTTAAATACTAAGAACAAATTGAAGGTTTGTGGGGGGTGGGAGGGAGGGGAAAGTGGGTGATGGGCACTGAGGAGGGCACCTGTTGGGTTGAGCACTAGGTGTTGTATGGAAACCAATTTGACAATAAATTTCATATTTAAAAAAAAAGAAAAAATGTAGAGACTTTTTTTTTTTTTTTTTGCTTTAAGTAAATCAACAGGGAATTATGAAGCACTCCAGAGCTAGCAGGCAGTAGTAAGTTACCACCAACTTTAGGCTGGAAGTGGTAAGATAAAGAAGCAATTACTGAATTCTGGGGAGACCTGTATCTATAGGAAAGGCTTCCCAATGGGAGCATGATCTCTGTCAACCTTCAGCCCGGCAGCAGGAAGCAGGGGGACTAAAATTTCTGACCTCTCTATCTTCTACCAGTGACTTGATTGATCTTCCATTGATTTTCTACCAGTGACTCTCATGGGCTGAGACCAAGCACATTACAAGAACATAGTCTCTATCAGGGGCACCTGGGTGGTTCAGTTGGTTGGGCATCCAACTTCAGCTCAGTTCATGATCTCACAGTTCGTGAGCCCGTGTTGGGCTCTGTGCTGACAGCTCAGAGCCTGGAGCCTGCTTTGGATGCTGTGTTTCCCTCTCTCTCTCTCTGCCCCTTCCACTCTCATGCTGTGTCTCTCTCAGTCTCTCAAAAATGAATAAACATTGGGGCGCCTGGGTGGCGCAGTCGGTTAACCGTCCGACTTCAGCCAGGTCACGATCTCGCGGTCCGGGAGTTTGAGCCCCGCATCAGGCTCTGGGCTGATGGCTCGGAGCCTGGAGCCTGTTTCCGATTCTGTGTCTCCCTCTCTCTCTGCCCCTCCCCCGTTCATGCTCTGTCTCTCTCTGTCCCAAAAATAAATAAACGTTGAAAAAAAAAAATTAAAAAAATAAAAATAAAAAAAAAATGAATAAACATAAAAAAATTTAAAAAAAAAGAACACAGTCTATATCTTTTCTCACTGTTCTTGAGGATTCTTTTGTAACCTTCTCTCCTCGTACTCCACACACATTCTCTCCCTTTTCCTTTCAGCTGATGGCCTTTGATCTTACCAAGAAAACCACAGCAATCATAAGAGAATGTTCACAGATTGCCAACACTATTTGCAGCACTTGTACCTATAGCATATGCCCCCATTTCTGTTACCCATATATCAATTTCCATTTTTCCATATAAACCAGTCTTTCCCCAAATCCTGCATTTATGCAATTCACCTGCTCAAGCATTTCTCTCTAGCTCTTCTCTACCATTTCTTCCAAATCATCAATGTTTCCTTTTTTATTGTACTGCTGCTCTCAACACATTAATATACTATTATTTTCCCTGTCATAAAATGTTCTTTTTTTGGCTCTCCCTTCCCCTTCTAGCTACTACCACAGTTATTTTTTTAGTGTTTGTTTATTTATTTAGAGAGACAGAGAGAGAGAGAGAGAGACAGACAGACAGCAGGGAAGGGAAGAGAGGCGGAGAGAGAGAATCCCAAACAGACTTTACACTGTCAGTGCAGAGCCCAATGCAGGGCTGGAAACTCACAAAGTCTGAGATCATACCCTGAACCAAAATCAAGACCCAGACAACTAAACCCACTGAGCCACCCAGGCACCTCATTTTTTTCTTGTTATATAAAAACACCATGTGATTCTAATACTCTTTCCAGAAACTCTCCTACTATTAACCCTGAAACCCACTGAAGTGGCTTTTACCCTGAAGCTCCTCTTGTTATGGCCAATCATGACCCGCATTGTTAAATCCAGTGGTTACATTTTAGTCATTTAATTGACCCATCAGCAATAGTTGACATAGTTTGTTGCTCACTTCTTTTTGTTATTTATTTTGAGAGAGAGAGAGCGTGAGCGCACGCAAGCAGGAGAGGGGCAGAGAGAGGGCGAGAGAGAGAGAGAGAGAGAGAGAGAGAGAGAGAGAGAGAGAGACAGACAGACAGACAGACAGACAGAATCCCAAGCGGCTTGGCACTGTCAGCGTCGAGACCAATGCGGGGATTGATCCCACGACTGTGAGATTATGACCTGAGCTGAAAGCAAGAGTCAGTTGCTTAACCAACTGAGTCACTCAGGTGCCCCCATTACTCACCTTCTTAAATAATTTACTTTAATACCAGGATACTGTCCATTGTTGATTTCCAACTTCCTCTAAGGTCACTCTTTCTCAACATCCTTTACTGCTTTCTCATTTTCTCCCCAACCTCTTAATATTGAACTGACCCAAGTTCAGTATTTTGTCCTCTTCTGTCTATGCTCCCTCCCTCAGTGACTGTACTATTTAGCTTAATGGCTTTAAATAATATTTATGTTAATTACTTCCAAAATAATACCACCAATTAGACCCTTCTAAATTCCAAACTTATATATTCAACTGCCCTTCGTGATACCTCTGCTGATATGTTTAATGTCTTGATAATCTTTTCTCAAAATCTGCTCTACCAGTAGCCATCCTCATCTGAGTTAATGGCAACTTTCCAGTTGTTTGGGTGTGGGGAGGGGGGCGGCAAAAAGTCATCCTTGACCCCTCTTTTTGTGCCACATTCATAACACAAATACTTCCGGGTCTCCTTTCAAAATGTATCCAGACTCTCTTTCTTCAGCAGTTATCATAACCATTTGTTCTAGGCTACCATCTCTTCTCTCTTAACTGGGTTACTGCAGTGTTCTCCTTGACTTTATCCTTACTTTTCTAAAGTCTTCTGAACAGGATAGCCAGAATGTTGCATTTAAGAAACAAACACTGAAAAAACCAACAACAAACAAACAAAAACAAAAAAGAAAAAACCAAACCAAACCAAACAAAAAAAGCCTCCCTTCAATGGGTCCACCTTACACTGAAAGTAAAGGCAAGATTCCTTACAATAGCCTAGAAGGCCCTAGAAAATACCAAGTATGCTTCTGCTTTAGGACATTTGCTTTAGTTGCTCCCTCTTCCCGGAATATTCTTTCTCCGGACACTGTTTTTGCTCATTCCCTTACCTCACTCAAGTCCTGGATCATATCTCATCTTTTCAAAAAGACCACTTATTTAACACTCCTAACCTTCCTCGCACCCTTCCCTCCTAACACTTTCAAGTCACCTTACTCTGTTCTTTTTTCTTCGTGTTCCATTACTATCTTTCATCACACTAAGTTATCATTTTTTAATATGTCTGTATTTCCTTATAATGCCTCTTGTTTATCATACGTTTCCCTCTCTTGATCATTGAAGTCAGCGAGGACTGAGGTGTTTGTCTGATTTGTTCACTGATAAAGCATCTGGCATATAGTAAGCACTAAGTACTGAAAGAACAAATGACTACTTTATAAGACGTAGGACTCAAGAATTCAGAAAATACCAGTGTGAATATCAGTAGATATCAGCACTAGACACAGATTCTTTTCTCCCACCTCTTCCCATCTGTCTGGCAGACCGCATCTGCTTAAAGGAAGCACCTAATAAGGCCAAAGAACGTTCTCTCCATTCAAAATCCTCTTAAACCTCTTATTTTACTCAAAGATGCTGTGATTCAATCTGCAGCCGTTAATTCTTGTTTGACTTAGCCATGAGCTCTTAGAGAGGAAAACCAACAAACGAGACAAAAAAACAGAGTGGTAGATGTGTTTACAAACTGGCCTTGAAGGTAAAACCAAACTTCAGGTGAACAGATCATTTTTTTATCTGTTTTTTGACCACGTATATTAGTGTGAAACATTTTTAGTTTTAGTTTTTTAATTTCATATTTATTTATTTTTGAAGGAGAGAGACAGAGCACGAGCAGGGGAGGGGCAGAGAGAGAAGGAGACACAGAATCTGAAGCAGATTCGAGGATCTGAACTGTCAGCACAGAACACGACGCGGGGCTCACACTCAGGAGCCGTGAGATCATGACCTGCGCCGAAGTCGGATGCTTAACTGACTGACCACCCAGGCACCCCAGTGTGAACCATTTAGAAATGATAGAGTAAGGTACAGTGATTCTCTTAAAACTCAACCTACAAAAATCTGCATTAAATAGCAAATTCCAGTGGAGCAGACTCAACCATTGACTAACGTAAAAAACTTTCTTTTCCTAAAGGTATCAGTAGATTGTGTTAGAAATCTGGAACATAGATTAATATTTTTTCCCCATCATTTCCCTTCCCAAATCCTTCAAGAACTACTCATAGCTGTTGGGGTAAAGTTTAGGTTTGTTGATATGTCTCAGAAACCCTTGTCCACCTTTCCAAGTCTCATCTCATCTCATCCTTCCTTCTCCCTTGTTTCTTTTGTTTCTGCCAAAATGACCATCTAAAATAACATGTTTTTGTTTTTGTTTTTTGCCTTCACAGGCTTCAAGTGCTTGTATCTATGCTGGGGATGCTCCCACCACCATTCTTTAGTTAGTTAATTCATACACATTCTTCTGATATTAACTCAAAAGACCCTTTCTTAGAAAAGTCTTTTCTGACCCACATTAGATAAGGTACTCTGTTACTTACACTCAACTAAGGCAGATTTCATATTTCTTTTACAATATTTTATACATTTTGAACGTATACATCTATTTGTTTAATTTTTTGCCTCAGTTTTCCCTCCCTCAAAAGACTGGACTCTAAATTTATGACCACAAGAACTGTATTTGTTTTTTTTTTTTTATTACTGTTTTCATTTTGCCCAGCATATGCTAAACCCATAATGTAGATTAGAAAAAAGAATGAATAAAGTTTATTAACTAGATAGCTGATTCCTAAACCCCACCTCCTGTGTTAGGCTTCTGGGTTATGATTTCCCTTATTACTCTATTTTCCTATTAATTGGCATTGTACTTTATGGCAATTGCCTATATATATGTATATGTGTGTATGTGTGTGTGTGTGTGTGTGTGTGTGTGTGTGTGTATATATAAAGAATGACATGAAAAAAACAACATATCTGATTTCCTATGTGAGTGGCAAATCTTGTCATTTTGCCTGCCATTCTGTATATAACACACCCAGAGCAGGTAGTTATTAAATGAAAGTTTTTGTTTGTTTCAACACTTCTCCATTAGGCCAGCAAATATTTCTCACTATACACCTGTTTCAGCAAAGTCTGTGGACAGGTTATACTTTATAGTTGTTACAGCTCTGAAGCCTAGAATTAGTATGTAAATCCTGCCCAAAGGACTTTTATTAAAAAATGAATAAAGTTGACATAATGGAAAGAGCTCCAGTCTAAAACTTTATACCCCAAATATCTTCAATATAATCTAATCCATGAAGAAAAGACCTAGTTTGGGTAAGGATATATTAACTACTTAAAATCTAATGTAGCTTCTTTCTGTAAGATCTGCCATAGCACTTCCTACTACATCACATAGTATTTCTAAAATACAATGTACAACAAGATCCAGGGACAAAAGCCTGTGTACTATTCTTGGGCCTTGCCCTAAATTAGTGCTTCTTCTTCTTTTGTGGCTTTTTGTTATTCCTTAAATCAAATAATGTACTGAAGCCAATTCATAGGACTTGAAGGAGCCAACTTTTAAATTTTTAGGAATTTTGTGAGCAAGCTGTTAAACCATTGGCATCTTTTAGCTGACTATGAAATGAGTATTTACACTATGGTAATTAGTAGATGCTACATATTTGGGTTTTTGTCTCCAGGAAACCAATTGTTAAATATTTACTAGTACAACATTGCTTGACTCCTTTGTGACAACTCCTTGATAACATGATGAAATTACCTTATGATGCCTATGCCACAAAGTAACCTCCAGATAAACAATTCCCTGGGGTGCTTTATCTTTGTGTTTGTGTCTACCATCACAGTTTTTATGGACCTAACATACATCAGCAAATATTTTCTATTAAAGAATAAATACTCATCTTTTGGTTACACCATAATCTAATCCATGGATCATACCACAACAACCAAAAACTACTGCACTTTTTCTAATGAATGTACGGAATCACAATTTTGGATTAATTACCCTGAGAAGAGAAACAAAAATCTCAAGATAGTAATACATGCCTTAACAGTTTCAATGGTGATATGTATCAAAGTAAGTTTATAAATATAATTATGGGATTTAGAGAATGATCTCACATCATAATAGACACCGACCATTTAAAGTATGGCATCTCTGTATAGCATATTGAACTTCTTGATTGTAATTTTTAACAACAATTATAGATGCTGCTTCATCAAAAGTGAAGTGTTTTGGATATGGGGAAGTCACAGAATCAAGTCTTCTTTGTTACCTGCTTTCACACTCAATGCTGCAGTTCTGAGAGGATGTCAATGACCACTCAGAATTCTGCTCCTCGTTGAATACTTTTTCTGCTTTCCAGTTTTCTTTAAACCTTCCTATTCTCTAGACAGGCAGGATAAAAACTAGTGAAATAAGCCCTTATCATCCCTTTGTCCATTTTCTCCTGATCTACTTTCTTCTTTTCACCTTTGAACTAGTGGACGCACTCAACATTTAAATGTCTCCTGATTAAATAAAAATAGGTAGCAAAAGAAAGGGAGGTTACAGAAAGTAGAACTGCAGTCATCACACTCAATTCCTGTAAACTCCCTAGACTTGGGTATGAGACAAAGATGCAAGTATCCTCGCTTCTATTCAACGTTTTATTTATTCTGTAACCAACCAGAACAATATGGTTGTTCTGGAGAAAAGTGGACAAAGAAATGGCATTTTTAGATAAAAGAAATGAAACTGGCATCATCTGAAGACAATTGTTTATACTGAAAATTCAGAAGAATCGACACATTTTTAGAATAAATGATTTTAGCAAGAAGGCTGTGTAGAGAGCACACAAATAAACTGTATTTCTATAGGTTATCAACATAGATAAAATTGAAATTTAAAATGTTAATAACCTTAGCAACAAAATGTATCCAGTGTTTAAATTAACCTAACAAAAACTGTAAATGAAATAGCTCTACACTAGAAACTCCAAAGAGCATAAAAGAAATTAAAGAAAATATAAGTGAATAGGTATACAGGTCTATGGGTTGGGAATTCAAATTTATAAACATGTCTACCCTGCCCAAATTAATCTATAGATTTCATGCATTTACAATTAAAATACCAGCAAGGATGGGTGTATATACATGTGTGCAAATGGACAACTAGATTCCAAGAGCCAGATAGAAATAAAAATTGCTAAGCATAAGACAAGGCAATCTTGAAGAAGTCAGACATAACTAACAAACTTACTCCATTCATCAATAGCTAAGACAAAGTTGTCTTGTTTGTTTGTTTGTTTTTTCCCCCAAGCCAAACTGTCTCCAGCTTTATTAAAGATACTTTTCATAAACAGTCATGGTATTTCAGGCAGGACATGGGGAGACAATCATTAACAGTATACAACAACTTTCAAACTCCCTTCTTCAATGGACTACCAAGATCAGAAAGCCACTATAAAACCCAATGAAGTTTTCATTTGATGCTCTGAACAGGGTAAGTTTAGAGTGAGGGTTGACATTTCACATTTAGTATGTTGTTTAACAACTTTTCACAAGCCGATCCTGACTTTCGGGAAATGAAATGAAAATGGGAGAATTATCAATCTAAAGCTCCACAAGCTAAAAAAAAGGAATTCTTTTGAGGGATGCCATCTCCATGGTGACACTGTAAAGTCCAATGCAATACTGATGCAACATTAGACATGTCTACCATTTGAATAGAACAGAGAGTTAAAAAATAGACCCACACATAAATACTCAACTAGCTATGACAAAGGTAACCCCAGTGCTTGAAGATAGGAAGGGTCATTTCAATAAATGGTGCTAGTTCCTTTATATGAAAAAAAAGTACCTGGATTTCTACCCTACAATTAACCAAAAATCAGCTACAGATCAATAGCACATCTAAATGTGAAAGTAAATCAATAAAACCATTAGGAAAATAAATAGAAACAAATATATGAGGTAGGCAAATAGTCTCAAAAGGGGCACAAAAAGTGCTAATTATAAAAGAAAAAAATATTAGATGATCTTAAACTTAAGAACTTCTGTTTATCAGAATTCACCCCTTCTAGTATGGAAAGAAGTTCACAGTATGAGAGAGGATATTTGTTATACACAACTGAAAAAGGAATAGTTTCTGGAATATATCAAGTTCTCTAATAAATCAGTAACAAAATTTACAGCTTATCCAATAGATGGGCAAAAGATTTAAGAGGACATTTAACGAGAGGATATCTAAATTACCAATAAATATATGTCAAGATATTTATCTTCACTGTGTATCAGGAAAATGTAAATTGAAATCAGAGCTTGATATCAGAGCAAAAACATGCCTGCCTGATAAGTCAATAATTATACTCCTAGGTTTCTACCTAATACATTGTACATGTTTGCCAAATATACGTATTATAATACTCATAGCCACATTCATAATCTCCCCAAACTTGTGATGACCCAAATTCTTATTGTTGATTAAAGTATGCTATATTCCCAAAATGAAATGCCATACTACAAGGAGAATGGATGATTTTCAACTACACAGAAGACTCTGGATACATCTGATACGTAACGTCGAGCAAAAGAATTCAGAAGGAATACATACACCAAGATTCCATTCATGTGAAGTACAAAAGCATACAAAGCTAATTTATGCAGAACACAGGGTAACAGTTACTCTCACAGAGATAGAGGCTGCAAGGAAGAGAAAGAAGCATCTGTAGTGTTGGTAATGATCTGGGGTATATGTTTGTTTACTTTGTCTTTGGATTTTATCTCAGAGCTGTTTAGACTAGGCCATTTAGCTGTGAAAATTCATCAAGCTGTACACTCATGATAGATGATCCTTTCTAAATGTTGATTGCACTTCAATAGTAAGTTTTTTAAAAGAGTGGAGAAAAAAAGGTTTTATTCTTTTTATCACAGCGTCCATATATTCATTGTATAATATAGCTCTCTTTTATGCTATTGCATATATTTTCTCTTTGAATAATGAGGTTGTGTTTTTATTAATAGACAAAAATTCCAATCCAAGCTGTGTCCCATTATATACATCTTGTATTATATAACAGAGGGAGGGAGTACAAGCTATTTAATTCTGATATTTCCATTTCTGGTATAAAAACCAGAAGGTTCAGATTTAAATATTTTTTATTAGAACCACCCATGTCAAGAAAGCAGGCCCAACACGTGTGCCTCAAATCATTCCTGTCATCAGTCTTTTCAACATAATCAGAACATATAATCTTTCATTATTATGATAGAAATGCATTAATTTTTCCAGTCTTGCAGCCTTTAAAAATATTGTTAAATATTTAAAGCAAAGACCCATCTTGGTAAATGTTATGCATATTCTCTAATGGAAATTTTATACTGAATTTCTCGGAACCACCAAGTGGACCTTCTTTTGTAAAAATTATGGGGAAAAACATAATAGTCCACACACAGAAACCATCTCAACATATCAGTATATGGTGCATTATGGTTATCAAGATTAGGATTTCCATAGTGATTTTCACTTAAAATTTCCCAAAAGCTCATGTTCCCATCAACTACAAATGTTTACTGTTCAATACGCTGAAATCCCCTGTTTTTGTATTTTAAGGAAATTGTTGTCCTGGTATGTAAACTGGAGCGTTGTGGGCCAGATGAAAGGTAATTTGGTTGCCTCTCTTTTATAATAAAAAGATATCATTATTTTCTGATTTCCTAAGTCCAAATACTTCCTACATTTAAACATGGATACTCATGTACTTATTCGCATGTACCCACAGAAACACACATAACACACAATAACAACCCAAAATAAAATAACTAATTACATTCACCTAATTCTTTCAATTGTCTTGACATATTTATGTTACTTCACTCATATTTCTAACTTAGATATTACTCATAGTTACAAAATGCATTCAATTGTCACTACTGGCTTTGGCTTGATTGTAGAAAGCTGGAAAAGGCATCACTTCTCCCGCAATATTAACCCAGAAATGTTGGGGAGCCTGGGTGGCGCAGTCGGTTAAGCGTCCGACTTCAGCCAGGTCACGATCTCGCGGTCCGGGAGTTCGAGCCCCGCGTCAGGCTCTGGGCTGATGGCTCAGAGCCTGGAGCCTGTTTCCGATTCTGTGTCTCCCTCTCTCTCTGCCCCTCCCCCGTTCATGCTCTGTCTCTCTCTGTCCCAAAAAAAATAAATAAACGTTAAAAAAAAATTAAAAAAAAAAAAAAAGAAATGCTAGTTAAGTTTTAAAGACTATGTCTTTTATTGGATTCACCAGATACGTGAGGCTACATGAGACTCAGCCCAAAACTTGAAGGACAGGAATCCCTAAGGAAAAACTGGATGGGAGCACTTGCTTACCTGTGGCAGATGTCAAACACCATACTGCCATAGGTGCCAATAATAAGAATTCAGCTGAAACTTTAAGACTCAGCTAAAGGCTGGGTGTGATAATTTACAAGAAAGTGTAGAAACTTGGGATGCAACAGATACAAGAGGAATTCACACCCACTTGAAGGTTCTTTTCCACAGACTTCACTATATGCTCACAAGAAAAACTGGTTAGTGGACAAGAATAGAGAAAACCTCATTTCCAATGCAAGCCTGGAGGAGGGGAAAAATAGCTATTGCAAATTCCCACTGGGACCCTTCTCTCTTATATCTCCCATAGACCAAAAGCCTAAAGCTTCTAAGGGAGCCATAAGAAAACACTATCACCCTCAGGATATATGTGAAAATCCAGTACAGCTAAGGAAAGAGGAATAAAAAATAAAATTTAAAAATTAAAAAAAATATCTAGGGGCGCCTGGGTGGCGCAGTCGGTTAAGCATCCGACTTCAGCCAGGTCACGATCTCGCGGTCCGTGAGTTCGAGCCCCGCGTCGGGCTCTGGGCTGATGGCTCAGAGCCTGGAGCCTGTTTCCGATTCTGTGTCTCCCTCTCTCTCTGCCCCTCGCCCGTTCATGCTCTGTCTCTCTCTGTCCCAAAAATAAATAAACGTTGAAAAAAAATTAAAAAAAAAAATATCTAACAACCTCTACTCCTGAAGTAGGGACAGAAATACACCATGAACCCAGACCATGAATCTTCCTACCTGGAAGAGGAGTAGGATCATTGAAAAGTCTTCCTTCCTAAAAAGCAGGGACATTGCACTTCTTTAAGATTGGGGTTGGACCAGAATGGTAGAGATTCCCTCCACTACTTACCTCTACCAGCCTAGTAAATGTTATATAAGAAGTAATGGCAGTCTAATTCTGCTTAAAGTCATCCAGAAAGAGAAACCTTCCCTGAAGTTAGGTGCAATGTTCAGACCTAAAGATAAGGGTAGGAAAAACAAAATGGGAAAACTCTCTGGGAGATCAGTCTCCAGCCTAAACACAAGATAACTAAGAGGCATTTGTAGCCTGTGGTGCACTGAGGGAAGCCACAGCAATAACAAATCAAACCTAGCCCAACTCCTGACTAGAATGATTCGGCCTCTGACACGAACAATTCAGAAAAAAGAGGATGTGTGCTTTCGCAAGCATCACTATTATTTACCTAAATTTTTACCATGCTATAGAAGATACTGGATTTCATCCTCAAATTACAAGATACAATAGGAAGGAAGACAAATAATATGTGGTCAAGAGACAAAGCAATCAATAAAACCAGATTCAGACATGGAATTTTAAATATAGTTAATAAGTTGAAGGTTACAGTGGAAACAGTGGACAACATGCATGATCATATGGCATTCTATAAAAAAAATAAAAATAAAAATGCTAGAGATGAAATTCACAGTACAGAGGTGAAGAATGTTTCCGATGGTCTCATTGTAGGTGATATAGATGAGGGAAGAATCAGTGAACTGAAGATACATCAAGTGAAATTACCTAAACTGATATGCCAATGAATAATAATAGTAATAATAAGAACAGAGTAGACAGCAGCTAAGGACAGTGGGAAAATATAAATCTAACATACACGCAAATAAATCCATATAAAAAGGAGAGTGAAACAATGGGGCAGAAAAAATATTCAAAGATGATAATGTAGAAGAAGTTTAAAATAAAAACACTGTCTCTAGAAGCTCAGAGAACAACAAGCAGGATGATTTTTAAAAATCACATATATTATTCAAACAGTTAAAAATCTAAGATAAAGAGAAAATCTTGAAGGCAACCAGAAAACATAACAAATTATACAGAGGAAACAAAAGTAAAATTTGCATCAGAATTCCTGTCACTGACAAGACAATAAAGTGACATCTGGATAATGCTTTAAAAAAAAAAACCTTAACCCATAATTCTATACTCAGTGAAGATACTTTCAAAAATAAAGGAGAAATACTTTTTTTTCAGACACAGAAAAGCAGAGAGTACTTTACTTAAAGACCTAAATACAACAAATTGTAAAGAAAGCTTTTCATCTATAAAAAATACCAGGCAAAAACTGGTATCTACACAAGTTCAAGAATGTTGAAAATAAAGATAAATATATAATTTGTCATGTAATTGC